CCACGGCCCCCCCCCCCCCAGCCAAGTCCACCCCACGAACCTGCCTTTGCAAAAGCCACCTGGGCATGTGCCCCTAGCCCCACGGCAAGCTGCAGCTCAGGCTAGATGCGTCATGGTGGGACGATGACAAGTGCTCCCCTGTCCTGCCATGAGCTTCCAAGAAAGCGACAGAGCTGAAGCCACAAATTTACCACCTATTCCCATGGCAGCCAACCTCCCGCAAGCAGCGGGACCCCCGCTCCGGCTTGCTTCCCTCCACCAGTCCCTGCAGCCCCAGGCATTGCCGCTGACGTACAAGAAGGAGTTCTTTGCGGCGCTCACAATGCAGGAAACCCGGTCAGCATCCACATAATCATAGGTAAATTCCTCTGGGTCTGTTTTCGAACCTGACTCCGACAAGAGGAGGCCCAGCCAGTGGCCCATTTCTTCCGAGGACTTCGCCTACAAGGTGATCAGACAGATAGCACAGGTTGCAAGAGCAGTTTCTCTGCACTCCCAGGGCTAATGCAGGCGTAGCCTTGGGTAGGTAAGTATGCTGGAAGTCCTCTGGGCTTGCAATGGGAAAGATGAATGGCCAGTGTTTATATTAAACCTGAGACCGCATTAAAAGAAGAAAGAAGTACCACTCTGTGTATGGACTGATTCGCAAATTTGGAAGATATATGAGTGCAGCTCTTCGCTTAACTCCTTCCTAAAATTTCTAGTCAGCCTTCATTTTCCTTTCAGTGGTGATCAACTCGGCTGCCTACAAGAGCGAGAGAAGTCTCTGGGGCTGGAGATGCTGGCAGGGAGCTGGCTTTGGCAAGGAAGTGTGCGGGTTTTATTTTGCACCAGCAGAGCGCAGCAAGGGGATTGCCAAACATAGAGTGCAAGGAGACCCGAGCACACCAGGGAGCCTGCGAGTTCCTTATGTCAGAGCCCAAACCCCTTCCAGGGCTGTTTGCACAGGGGAGAGGGGAAGGGAAGAGTTTACAGTGGGATCAGAGAACATCGAAGAGGGCCCCTTGCTTTAATATAGTCAGTACCAAATTCCTAGCAGCAGTAAACAGTCTGATATTTTGCAAAATGAAGAGTTAAATATGGTGCCCTGAAGTCAGCTCTAGGAAATAGCCACATGCACTTCCCGGTAGTGGGGGATTTCTACCTAAAGCAAGAAGAAGTGGGCTTATGCAGCCATCTTTTGCTTTGATTTGAGGAATTAGAGCAGTGAGCACAGAGTAAAATTCAGGGCAAGTGAACCCCAAACTGAAAAATATATTTTAAGCTTTCAATCTGTTTTATTTAGCAGAGACTTCAGTCCCTGGGAAGCCTGCCAGCCAGCCAGTCTGTACATTGAGTCTGACATCCCAAGAAAATACAGATTCTTCCATTCACAAAATGTAAATTTTCCCAGCACCTCTTCTTCACATCTGTAATTAGGCAAAATTTCTTAGACACAGACATACCCTGAATCAAAAGCTAAACAAAAACACCTTCAAACTTCATGGCAGGCCCTCGAAGTTTAGCTATAAATATTCCACCCACTGGAAAAATACAGGAAATTGCTCACATTGTCCACCTCCTACTATAATCACGCTGTCGTCAGAGAGAACTAAGATTAGAGATAAACAGTCCTGGATGCAGGCAAAGGAAAGGAACAGATGGAGACGAATTCACTTGCACTTTCAGGGGCAGATCTGTGATTGGTTTACTTGGGATGCATGACCTGTGACTTTGGGAGACTCTGTTTTCAGAAGATGAAGTTCTTTGTTCCTCCTAACCACAGACTTAAATCCCTAAAGTGGCATTCCTCTCATCTAACATTAACCATCTGAAATGCTTCCCATATAACTTATTCATCCAAGGTTATCCTATAGTCAGTGGAGAGAGATGGGCACCTCCAGAGGACCCTTCATCCCATCCAAAGATGAGTGCCTAAGATGAAGGCTGAATGGTCCTCTGGAGGTGCCAGCATCAGACACAGCCCGCATTAGCAGCTTGGCAGGACACCTTCTAGGTGGCCACAGGCAGATGAACCGAAGTCCCACGCTTCAGGTTCTGTTTTGCTAGACTGAGGGTTCCTCTGGAGGACCTCACTGGCATTCAGGCCTACTAAGACATCCAAGCTGATGACTTAAAGCAGAGCTTTCTTGGAGATATACACCCTACCTCCAGAACGACCCGTTCTTCCCCGTTGTGCAGGATGCGGAAGGAGTAGAGATGATCAGGGCTTGGCTCTGGGATAACTTCACAACCTGCCAAACTCAGGGGCTGCTGAGCCAGTTTGCTTCGGTTCTTGTCCTGGTAGAAATGGAGGTGGCCGTCTTTTATCTGACACCAACGGGACTTCCACTGGCTGTTCACTAGTACATTCAGGTAACCTGCAAGCAAGCACAGGTTACTTAGGCACATTTTCCACCCCACAGGGAAAGGGAATCCAAAATCATTTGCGTGCATAGGGATGTCCGATGGGTAAGTTCCGAGATCGCCACACAACACAAAGCCACAGGTGACGACAAAGAGCAAAAACACAAAGACAAGCTGTCATCCATACGAAACAGGGTGAAAAGGGTAAAAATCTGTTCAAAATGAGACCCTTGAAATTCAGGTTAGGTTTGGAGCAGCAAGTTGGCTGCAAATGACTGGACAAGGTTGGTCCCAGATGGTGAATACCAGCTGACCCACACAACTCTCCCCCTGCTGACTCCCACAACCTGGGCTGATGCCCAGGAAGAGCAGCACAGATGCCTTCTGGGGGCATGTCTGGTATTACCTGCCCTGCCTCTTGGGTCACCCTGTGAGCTATTGCCAGCCCTTGTAAGCCACACAGTCACCTTAATGTGTAAGAGGCATGACAGTCTGCATGGATTTACTGGCATGGACCAAGCAGACTGTGGCCTCTTTGCCTTCCCCAGCAGGACAGCCTGGCACATGCGTGTTTGAGAAGGATGATGCCTGGTGCTCATCCTGCCCTGCACACCGAGATCCAGCCCTGAGACAAGTCCTTGCAGAGGGGTTCATGCTGCCACTTACTTGAAGTCTCCAGGGATCTCTCTGGGCTATCCAGGGAGCTGGATTTTTTCCGCCCAAGGTTCATCAGGTTGCTCAGTTTCAGGCCAGTTGTGCCCTTCTTCTTAACTACCAGAAAAGAAAAAGAAAAAGACATATACACGGCTTTCCCAACTCACAGCCATACACACAGCCTGCTGTCCCAGCTGGGCGTCTTGCCCCAAAGCTGCCCGCACCCAGCAGCGCTGCCACACACGCATCCCTTGCAGAGGGCAAATCTGCAACTCACGTACGGGCTGTAATAGCCCACAGCCCAGGGAGATGGCGAGCAAGATGGCACCAGTGATCTCAGTTAAGTGATTTGCCAAAGATACTTAATCTATATTGCTTTAAACCTGGGTTAGTTCTGACCAAACACCAGTCGCTGCAGGAGCTGTGCGAAGGCTGTTTGCACAGGTCTTGCTGTGCAGCTGCCAACCTCCTTTCACTTTCTTATGCTACAAAGAACTGAATTAAAAAACATTACCCATAAATATCTACTGCATTCAAGTCTTTTCCTTTCTAAAAGAGGAACTTGAGGTGGGGAGGGGGAAAGCTTATGTCCCAAGAGCCACTTCAGCATTCTCCTACCGAGCACATCAGTCAGTGCATGAATATGACTCTGTAATCATCCGGTAATCCTGGTAAGAAGTCAAGTTGGATGTTTTTAGTCCAGGTTTTCTTTCCCGCTATCATAACAAAATGAGGAAGTCCTAGTAGCAGCCAAGCTCCATTTGTTGGCTGACTCCAGTGAAGTCCTCAGCATGGATTTCTCTCTCTCCAATATACAGATGGGTCCCACCATCCTTCTAATAGAGCATCTCCTCTTTTAATGTACTTTCCTACCCCATCTTATAGATGGGGAATGCAGCTTAAAGCCCAGAGTCAGATGCCCTAGTGTGAAGGTGTAACTCTCCCACTGGAGACAGCTCAGCATTTCACACAGGTATTCCAAGTTTCTCTGCAGACATCTCTGAGAAAAGTCACTTAGGTTGCATTTATGCCATCTCAAACTGTCCCAGAGTGACTCGCCCAGAGTCATGCAGGATCTCTGTGGTAGGGCAGGTATCACACCCAGGTTTCTCAAGCCCTATCCTAACTCTATAACTGCTGACAAATCCCAACATCCACCTGTCACTTCATTAGGGGAAAAAAGCACTGAAATCAAATACACAGGCAATGAATTCACATGCAGCTTTCACCCTGCATCAAGGTCAGTTTGAGGTGGTGGTGGCAGGAGAAGCTACAGAAACCCTCGCCACATGCAGGGTCGATGCCCCCATTTCCCTGTCGTTCCCAGGGTGAGGTTTTACCGTCTTTTGTCTCGGCTGTCTCTGGGTGGCCGTCCGTGCTGCTCCCACTCTCGGAGGCTGCAGAGTACCTCTCAGACACCTCTACCTGCCAACAAGCACCAGACACAAGCTCCACAGATGCACGTGACCCATTCCTCCAGCCAGCACCCGCCGCAAGTGCCTTTTCCCCCCCTCCTAAATTACAAGGTCCCACCCTCTCCATAGCAGATGCTTTCACACAGGCATCCCCTGCCTGCCCACTCACGCTGTGCCCTCTCCATTGTTTCTGAGCCCGGCATGGGCCGATCCAGCACATGAACCGCCCCAGCTGGGCTCGCCTCCGAGGTGACATGGTGGCACCACCGGTGCCACCCTATGGCCTCCTGCCCTGCAGCCTGGCTGGTGGGGGCATGGCCAGTCCCCATAGGAGGGCACGGGCAGAGGAACTGGCCAGGTGCCCAAACAGGTCCATTTTGGGCGTCCACTGGAGACTTATGAAGGTTTCTTTCTCCTCCTGCTGTTTGGGAACAAGCTGCCCCCAGGGGAGTGTCACCTAAACCTGGACTAGAGACTGGCCCAAGCCCTGGCGTCCAAGGGTCTGTGTCCCTTCCAAAGCTCTTGGTGAGCACAGCTGTCCCATTGGATGAGACAGTGGCTGCTGCCCTGTATGGAGAAGAGCCCAATGCTGAGACAGTTTTGGGGGAAAGATCTGGCAACAAAATTAAGACTGCGAAGGAAAATTAAGATTGTTCCAATAACGTTCCTTTTCAGCAGAACAGGGGTCTGGTTACACTAGTATCAGTCTTTGTTGAGATAAAATTACTGCACCTATAACTATTATTTATTAAAGAAACAGGGTGGAAAAGCCTAAGTCCTAGTTCTCTCTGTAGAGACAAGGTGTACCTTTGGGTAACTGAGACGCTGTGAATCTGGGATGTACTGGTTGCCTTCTCCGCTTCCTTCGCACAGCAGACCGCTGGTCTCCTGGATTACCTGTGCAGAAGGGGAAGCCATAGCCTGTGAGAGTTGCAGTAACGGGATCAATATTTCTCCCCCACCCAGGACAGGCAAAACCTGTCCAGCAGCCTAGGAGACCCACAGTTTATGCTCCGTGTGACCCCAGGGACTCCCCTGGTGTTGCAGCAGGCAGCCAGCAGAAACTGCCAGATCCAAGTCAGCCAGGGAGAAGCTGCCAGCAAAGGCAGCCCCGGCTCCTTGCAGCCCCAGGCTCCGTGAAGGCTCCTTCTTCTGCTGCCACCTCAGGGAAAGTGCCACATTTCCCCCTGTCCTCAGCCAATTCATGTTGGGCACCCACCCCAGACATCCCTCCTGCCACAGCAGCTGGGCTGGGAGGTCACTCCGCAGCCTCCCACGCACAGAAGGCGGCAGGGAGCTGCAGGAAGAAGCTATCCTGGGACATGAAAATTAAGTGGTGCATTTGTATACAGGCTTGCAGTGAGGAAGGAAGCCAGAGCACACAAGGACAGGCCTGAGATAAGATACGGTCTCCCAGCAAAGTGAGGGTAGAAGCATGGGAGCACCAGCGGGGCAAGCCCCAAAGGCACCACTGACCCTGAGCCACTGTTCTGCCTGGTCTTTACTCTGCAGCCCCAGCACGATGACATCGGCGTTCATGGGGATGATCTTCAGCTTGTGCTCTTTCTTCCTCACTTGCTTTTCCTTGTGAATGACAGTGCAGCCCAGCAAATTCACGTCGAGCTGAGGGTTGTGGTCTTTGGAGGTCTTGTAGCACTGGGGAAGGAAGATGGGTGGGGAGGTAAGAGGTTGAAGAGGAGCCTTCCCTCTCGCTCGCTGGCATGAACTCAACCCTAGAAGTGGCTCACCACACGCATTAAGTGCACTGAACACAAAAGGGTCCTATAGGTCCTACAAGGCTGTGATGTCTACACAGACTACACACAGGACATCTCTATATGTATAGAGATACACATGCACCTATGTACATGCATATAGAGTCTGCAACACCTCTCACAGATACTGCTAGAGGGTCAAGTATGTGGTTAGCCAGTGCAATAAGCATCCCTTCTGCTCAACCACCTCAAAAAGTTTCCCCAAAAGGCATCTCTAGGCATTTTGGGAGTTTGGGATTTTGGCCACAAATGTGCCCTTGTGCCCCCCTCAGCAGCCCCATGTCCACGTCCCTTCTGAAAATGGAATGAGATCCCCAGATCTCCGGGACGTGGTTTTTGAAGCATTGCTTCTAGAGGTACTTTGTTTTTGCCAGCTAGTTAACATTGCCTGAGGTGCCACGTCCCTCCCCAGCTCATGAAAATAGGTTGAGGCAGGGAGTGGAGGATCTACCTACCAGCAACCTGGTGTCCTTGATAACACACAGCTGTTTTGCCCACTGTCCCAGCCACTTCTTTCTCCACAGGAATGCACAGATGCGGGCGTCCTTCATCAGCTCAATGGTGGCCTCTGTGGATGGCCACTGATGGGTTGCTGACTTGCCTTTGCTGCTCTCTTCTTCATCATAAGATTCATAGGAGCTACTAACAGCTTCACCATCTTCTATAACAAAAGCAAAGCTCTATCATTACATACATTTCTAGGGCAACTCTGAGCCTATCGCTTGCTTCAGCCATGCTCACACATGCAAAAGCTTCCAGCGTAGGGATGTGTCTTTTGAGGTTGTCTTACAGGAAGATAATCAATAGGAAAATAATGCTCATAGATCCTTTTTCTTTCTAGCCCAATATTAATCTCATTGCAACGTTTTGTGCCTAATAGTGTCAGTTAGCAAACACTCAAAAGACACTTCTCAGTTGACCACGAATTCAAGAACATTCTCTTAGCCATCTTCTGGTGTTTGCTGCATTTTTCCCCCCAAAGATGCTCTTTCTACTTCCCATTTCAAGCCAAACACAATTTTTAAGACAACAGCAAGCTACAATCAGTCCTTGTCCTCTGAACGTCAGAAGTAAAAATGGTATTTGCGAGGCCATGCAGAAAGCAATGATCTATTGTATTTGAGATGTCATTCCACTCTCCCTTTCTGGGCTAACAGGTCAGTCTCTCTACTCATCATCTGAGGGACAGCAAGGGGCTCTGAAGTAACACACTGCTGCAGCAGCAAAAATTAGTCATAAGTGGCAGCTGCAAATAATAGTAATCAAATTTTTCATGTTCATTCTTAAATGGATTGCTATGTTATTAGGATGAGTTCTGATTTTCAATACCCAGCTCTAATTTATTGTAGGTTATTGGAGTTTTCAGCTGATAGGAACAGCTCGTCATTAGTACCAGACTCATCAGAAACAATGAAAATGTTCCCACTGATTGCAGGGGAATTTGCAATGCTCTGCTGGCATTTACAGTACGGCTCTTATTCGCAAGGTAAGCTCACACAGCAAGATGGTAAGATTTGGGAAGCATCTGTGTAGGATTTTGCATTCTTGTCCTACCAAACGCACAGAGGAATATCGTGAAGCTTCTCTCGCCAGTATTTAATCTAATTTTGATTCTCATCAAATCTTAATATCCACATAAAAGTAACATTATCAGATTGGTGCAAAATAAAAAGAAGAAAAGCAGCCAGAAAAGAGGGGAAAAAAAAGCATTAGGAACTTCACTGAAGAACATTTCTTAAGTTGGGTTTATTTGTTCTTAAAATAAAAGGAACTGAGATGCAGTAACAAAGCTACAGCCTTACCCCCAGTGAAATCTCACTCTATAACATCCCTCAAGGGATCAAAGCTGCACCAATTAAACAAACTTGTTAAAAAGCAAACAATCCCTTTCAAAGTCTCTGAATGGTGCTGACAGCACACTACTGGCTCACCATCTCCATACCCTCAACGTATTGGACTGTCCATCTTTTATGGGAAAACTTTACCCCCCAATGCATTATCACTATGAAGAACTTGTCCACAGGCACCCTGGGCAGAAATTCAGATGGAGTAAAAGTGTTGAGGTTCTCATCCCTAGAAATACCAAGAAGCTGAACCTCTGCACTGCTACGGACTCTTCCTTATGCAGCAGCAGCAGCAGCAAGGATGCCTAAGGGAACCTTGTCTTCTAAATCTTCCTCCTTATCAACATGGGGCTACTGCTAGCTGTCCCTCTGTCCCCTTTGGGGTGTCTCTGGTGCCCCTCACCTAGGCGTTAGGTCTCCGGCTGCCACCTTTCTTCCACGCTCTCAGTGGGAGCCCTGGCTGCTCTTTTGTGCATCAACCACAACCACAAGTGCCTCAAGAGATGAGCTTTTCTCTACTTGAAGAGCTGCTGCCATTGCTCGCCCAGTGACACTGCTACAGCCTCAGGATGGAAAGGTGTTTTCCAGGCTGTGCTGTTGGCAAACTGGGACTAACCTGGCTTGGGTGACTTGAGACAACACTGTCATCACTACTAAGGCTCACTCAATCCCACGTCATACAGCTCAAGCACTTCAGTACAAGGTCTCCATTTCCACTTACTGGCAGTTTCAACTAAGACCATAGTTTTATCCTCTCTTTGCTGTGACATCAGTGTCAGCCATGTTCTTGGATGTCTTTATCTAATCCACCTCTGCTTTCCTGTTTGTCTTCCCACGACCTCCCAGGGAGCTAAATCAATGACTCGGGAAGCTCCAACCATCTCGTACAGCAGAGCTGCCTCTGCCCAAGCAGAGCACCTTCAGCATTCGCTGAACAGCTACTTGTCAATACAGCCAGCGTTACCACATATCAGCTCCACATCAGTGGCCAGAACCAGGGGAATAAAGGCTAGGGAAGTTCTCTTCATTGTCATCTTGAGCATGTGGAAAGGCACACAAAAATGCCGCCTTGTGTATAACCAGCATGGGCAGAGAGAGGAGAGAGGTGGTTACCCTCCATGCATGTAATGGACAGTACCGGGGGAGGCACCTGATCATCTTTGCTAAAACGGTTTTTTTTTTTTTTTTTAAAAAAAAAAAAAAAGCAGCACTTCAGGTTTGGAAAGCATGCCATACCCATCGTTATTGTGGCATAAATAACGCCCTCAGTAACCTGCAACCCTGGCTTGGGTCCAGCTGCAGCAAGCCTACCAAAAAGACCTGCACAGTCAAAAGGAAAGAGAAAGGGAGACAAAGACAGGAAGCCACAGATAAGCAAATGCAGAGAACAAGGGCATCAGTCTGGCTCAGCCTTGCCCTTCCCCCTTGGCCGGTGAGGCTGCCCCATCCCCACCGCCAACAGAGGAGCACATCATATGGTGAGACTTCAAACAGGGACAACATCTTCAACCCCTCCCCTCAAACAAGGCAATTCCCTTTAAAACAGAATCATCGTCATCGTAATTGAAATCAGCCAGGGCAGATGAGCTGTTTCAGCCAGAAGAGTTATTGCTCAGTTGGCAGTCACGTTGCCCCTTTCGTTTTCACTCTGTTTCTTATCGCACCCTTCAATTATGCAAACACAGCCGAGGACCAGGACAACAACAGTTTAACACATTTCAGCCTGGGAGGAAAGGGAAGCAGCAGCATTTGCCAGAGCTGTAAAATGAAAGGCAGAGGCGTCCCCAGCGGAGAGGCGGGAACCTTGCTGATGAAAGAGGGACCCTGAGACCCAGCAGTCTTGCCTGCCCACCCACTTCATTTTAATTAATTCACCCACGTTTGGTTACAGTGCCTCGCAGTCCCACCTCTGATGCTGCACGAATCCTCTATCTCCTCAGCCCATCTGGAGGCTTGCTTCGATGTCCTTTCTTGGCAGTGCACCCGCTAATTTTAGTGATGTTCCTATTTTTGTTTGATTTCACTACGCCCATTTGTTTGGAGACGCATGGGTGTCTTCCAAGGCTCACGCTGTAATTCTGTCACCACCAGCAGCTCCCTGGACTGCCAGCCCCTTCCCTACCCAGCTTGTGGGGAGAGGGGGGTGAGCACAGAGGGCTTGAGGGGTTACTGGGGCCAGGCTTTAACATCTTTGGCCAGGGCAAACCCATGCATGTGCAGACTGCTCTTCAGCAACAGCAGTCACACCAAGGTCTCAAGGCAGTTGCTAGCAATGAGCATCACTCCATGTAGGACAGGTACAGGGCACTGTTACCACCTGACAAGGTGAGAGGAGCAAAAGGGATATGGGGAGCCCAGTTTTGTACTCATTGAACCAACGGGCAGGACCAAGACCTGCAGGTTTGCCCCATATACCATGGAATTTGGAGCCTGATCTCGAGGCAAACCAGCCGGGGCACCAGCAGCTTCCCAGCATCGCCACCTGACCTACCCTCTGCATGGCATAGAATCATAGAATGCTTTGGGTTGGAAGGGCCCTTTAGAGCTCATCCAGCCCAGCCCCTGCAGTGAGCAGGGACAGCTTTAACCAGACCAGGCTGCTCAGAGCCCCGTCCAACCTGGCCTGGGATGTTTCTGGGGATGGGGCCTCCACTGCCTCACTGTGCCAGTGCTTCACCACCCTCATTGTAAGGAATTTCTTCCTTATATCTAGTCTAAATCTATTCTTCTTTAGTTTAAAACCATTACTCCTTGTCCTGTCAAGCATGCCACGCTTCACCCTCTCCCGAGGCCCCCCCAGCCTCCTCGTGCCACATACCTGCTGCTCCACACCTCTCCCTGCTCCTCCTTCCCGCTCATCCCAGGGCACCACCTCAAACATGAGGCTGCCAAAAAGCACAGAGATTCTCGGTGATACGCTGCCACCTTCTTTCTCAAGCAAACCACCTTAAAAGCCATCGGCATTACAGCACACCAGGCGGTTTGTGTAGAAGGGCTCTGCTGGGACCTGAGAGGGGACCAGTGGTCGCAGGAGGCAAAGGCGCTGCACACCTGGGTGGCGAGTGACTGCCTGGGCTTGCAGGTCCCACCTCTGCTCACTTCACGGGCTCCTATCTCCACAACACTGCTCGGTAGAACACCGAGCCCGCTGGTCCAACAGCTATTCATAGCAGCCACAGACTGCCCCGTTTTGACAGTGCTCCCATCATACAGGGTTCTTCTCTCTTTTTTCACCCATGCTTGCAGGGCTCTGATCTCTCGCTTTCTTAAGCATCTGACTGGCCTGGATTTCAGTGGATGGTGGGTGTATTTGCATCTTTGAGCAGCCGGTTACCAAGGAAAAGCGGAGGTTTAAGCTGGGTGTGTACTTATCGTTCCTGCCAGCCAAGGCTCTGAACGCAAAGCGAGTTTATGGAGCTGTCTGGATAACATAACCTGGTTTTCCCAGCACACAGATCTATGGCCATACTCCAGCTAATCCAGGGTACGTCTTTACATGCTATGGCTTTTAGCATGTTATCCTCTTTCCCAATGAGCAGCAGGGGAAAAAAGTCCACTTATCTTACAGTGCAGGCAACTGGAAACCCCCTGAGGGGACAAGGCTGCAGCAGCTGCAGGAGGGCTTCACTCCCCTGCACCCCACTTGTCACAGCCCTGCCCTCAGCCAAACAACCCAGAGCATGTCAGCAAAACCGAGCTGGCACCTAACTACACATGGGAGAGCTGGGGGGACCTCTCTTCTGCACCAAATGGCACGTTCCACCCCGGCCATGATGAGCCTGCACCTTTTCCCACCTGAGCTGGGCACGGTCTTCCCATTCACCGCTGTAAAGAAGTTGCAGTCAAAATGGGATTGTTCAGAGAAACAAAGATCTTTCCACATCTCCCTTTTTTATTTAGCACTGTAACTCCTAAGCCTCCATGAGAAGAGTGGCCCACAGTGAGCTATGAGCTGTCCGGGTGTGCAAGGTGCACACACGCAGCGGGGGCTGTTCAGATACACCCGTCCCTGGCCACTTCAAGCAGTGGCACCACTGGCGCTTCCCTGCCAGGGAGCTTCAAAGCCCAGTGGTGCACACTGGGGCTGGAGAGAACTCAGCTTCTCTCATGAACAGCTCAGATCCAACAGCCAAGAGTTTAGATCCAAATCTTTCACCCTTAACTCTCACTGTTCTGCTGCCTTGACTCTCCCCGCTCAGCGCTGCCCCATGCCATGCGCGTCATGGCACCCCACTCTGCTGCAGTCAAAGCTGATGAGCAGAGATCTGCTTCTGCAGCATGGCGATAGAATTTCTCTCATTTGGGCTTAAATGGATTGTAAAGCGATGACAAGATCAGCTCTGCTATCAGTTCAGAGGAAGGCAATCTTTCATGAAGGGTGTTCACTGAAAGAAGGATGCAGGAATACATCTTAAAATGTGAGAATCTGGGAGCTCAGCCTGCGTGCAGCAGTCTCCTGCGGAAGGGGTGCGGAGCCCACGGTGACAGGCGTCGGTGGCATTGCTGGGAGGTGCCGACCCAGGAGGGGAGTGAGTGTGTGCAGAGGGAACATGCACACTGTCCCCTCACACGAAGTGTGGCTTTTTAATCAAGTTTACAGATGGCTGAACTGCCACAAGAGACATAGCTGAATAAATAGCCAATTATAAAAACGGTTATCACATCTAACAGACCAACAGTCATGGATTTTGAGCCCCAAAGGGACAATCAGAGCACTAGGGCATGAATGCAAGCCACCACTCACTCCTTAACAGAAACCTGCGTTTGACTATAGCCTATCTTCCAGAAAACCACCAAGACAAAGAGAACCCACAATGGCTTACAATATTTTACAGCGATGTTATATTAACCCAGAGGTACTACTTATTTCCACGGGAAAGTTGAAACTTTGAGCACTTTTCTTTCCAACTAGCATTAGATCTGTAATATCAAGTGTGACCAGCATCAGAAAACAAATTTATCACACAAGCTATTTCTAAAATGTCTGCACTTTCGTTTACTTGTTCTTATAAACCTCAATTCCTCTATGTCCCACATGAGCCTCCCCAGAGAGTTAGCTGTGATATACCGTTCAGAGAGACATCATATGGCTCAGCCTCTTCGTAATACCCCTCTGGGGATTCGAGCTTGGGGACCGGAGGTTGTTTTGTTTCAGGAATCTGCAGAATAAATAAATACAAGAAGCATGATTTAAGGTAAAAACAGACACGTGAAAACAGCGGGGCATCCTTTTTATCAGCACTAAAGTGCATCCTAGTGGGTGAGGCCCTTTAGATGTGTACACCAGGGTTTTCATGTAAACTGTCAGACAGGGAAGAAAGAGACTGCTAAGGGTTTCCAGTGTACAGTTAGCTCAAATATAAAGGAGTTCTTTGAAATTACTGTATAATTGTGTCATAAATATTATTTTCTTTAATTTTGCTGAAAGCCCTGGGAAGATCAATTCATGCATTTCCTCAAAAGCAGCAGTTCCAACCCATTGGCCTTATCGTGAACTGGGACTTCTGCTGCTGCACCAACCTCCCGCCAAGCTGCTCATCGTGACTGAGGAAGATCCTCTGTGCTATTGATTATCTGAACAGGGAACCAGAAGGGCGGACATTTGGTGCAATCCTGGCTTTACACTGAAAAGCGTAGCCTGAGCGGTCACAGGTAGTGTCTCCAAGTCTAAAAATCTCTGCCTTAGGAACTGTATCAAGAATCTTTAATTGTGCTCTGAGCAAAAAATGGAGGAAATGGATAAACAACTGATGGAAAATAAGCCTTTTAAAAGAGTCCAAGTGCTGGAAAATCCCTGTGGTGCCTGCCAAACCCCTCCCTAAACACAAGCAAGGGCTGGCAGGAAAAAAAGTGCCTTGATCCTTTAGAAATACCAACACATGAGGCAGGGGGGGGAAAGGAAGCTAAGAAACAAACTTTTTACTTTTCAAGTAATCCACATGGCTGTTGAACATGAGGCAGCGGAGCTGGAGATGACAGTAGGATAAGTGCACGGCTTATGCTCTTCCCAAAACATGCGGCATCCCATGTCCCATCACGACCCGGCAGTAGCGTCCCCTCCCCTCGCCCAGGTCAAACCACCCCCAGTCATCTGACAACAGTATGCTCACACCCCTTCAACTGGCTTCTGACCGAGACCTGTGCAAATACTGGATGGGATGTTCAGTGTGTGCAGGGCTAAAGCCCCACTCCTCCCAGGAGGACAGGCAGAAGGAGCAGGTCCCTCTCTGCAGAGACAGCAATGTTCAAGGTCATGGATCATGCACAGTCCCTCACGCTAGCCCACGTGATCGCTCCTGGTGGCCTGGGGAAGAGGGGCCAGCTGGGTACCAGCACTGCAGAGCAGTCTAAGGAAGGATCAGTCCCTTTGCAGGCCATGCCAGGATCATCAAATGCAGGTTGAAAGCTTTCCATGCTGTCCTGGATATTTCCACCAACAGGTGCTGCTGCCCAGAAGTAGAAAAGAAGCTTTGAAGGAAAAGACGTTCTGGCCAGCAACTGCCCACAAAGGGGGATGCCACTGAGTGTGTGGGAACTAGGTACCCTGACCACACCAGCCAAAATCACATGTCTCTGCTCCCACATGGGCAAGCTGGCTCTGGCAACCTCGCAAACTTCTCAAGTGTCTTGGATGAAAACTCTTTCCTGTGTGGATCTGCCAGATGCTGTGAGCAGACTCTGAGCTTGCTTTCCAGAGCCACATAGGACACACTGCCGGAAAACACTTGCCTCCAAACACTTAAAGGTTCAGGAACTTGTCCTAATGTGTTAAATTAAAGAAATAAAAACAAACCCAGCCACTCCAAAGCTTTACTTAATCCCTTCCCTGGCCAAGGAATGTGTCTGCAATTGCCATCTGTGGTGGCCTCCTGCATGTAGCCAGCTCACATTGTGCTACGACCATAAACAAATTGCCTACACAAAGAAATGCTGTGCGTTTATTTGACACCATCCCACAAGTGTCAGGGAAGGAGGCGGGGTGGGGGAAAGGGGCTGCTCTGTTTTGTTTCCTACAGACAATGGAAGCCAACAGGGACTAGGTGGGACTGCACCTCAGCTGCCCCAGAAGTTATTTTTTTCTCTTCTCTTTATCTAAAGGCATGGAGTTGTTTTGTCTCCAGCTTAAGTCAAAGAGTACATGCTGTGTTATCTAACCCAGGCTGGTCCTCGCAGAACTTTGCCTGTTGCATTATGGCACAGCGGAGCATGCAAATAAAACCATCCTGGGCATCCGCACCGCGTGGCTTTCTCAGTGGATGGCTGCGGAAAGCAGCAGAGCTGCCAGGGCTACTGCAGATGAAAGGTCACCGAAGTCTGAGCCACAGCCTACAAGACTCATTGTTTACAGGTTGCTTTGGGGCAAATCCAAAGAAATTAGTGGTATCCAGCTGGGCCACCCCTGTTGGGTTGCCCATTGACTACTGGTGTCAGCGAATACCAGGGACAATCTGCTGTGCAGAGCTTTGTCACCAAATTTCTCCTGTGCCTCAAAAGGCAAGTGTAGAGCAACACCAGAGGGTGCCTTAACATCACCAAACCACAGGAAACTCCACAGAGTTAGAATAGATATATTCTGAGGTCGTCTCCTAACCTCCCCATTTCTGTGTAAGGAGTTGTGCTCTCTCCTCCACCGCCCACGTGGCCATGGCTCCTGCCCACACCAGGAGCGGCAAACACGGGCAGGGAAGACTCATTTCCCCACAGCAGCAATTTCCACACACTAACTGGGACCACATTAAAGCTCTCCCCAGCCCCACTCCTTGAAGTATGCTCTGCTTTGAAGTATCTTTGCTGCCAACAGCTCACTGACACTCCGATGCTTACAGTGAGGAGCTACTTGATTGCTTTATCCAAAGGAGGCAAGTGGGTAGGAGAAAGTAGTTCCCAGCACAGGCCTGGGAGAAGACGGATGGCTTATGTACCCTTTTCAGCTAACATCCAAGACCATTTTTTTTCCAGTTCCCTCATTTAACTTCCTGACTGCCCTGTCAGAAAGCTGGGCTGCACCAAGTACAAGCAGAGATGCCCTGGGGACACCTGGCTGCCACTTTCCTGGTCATGCCTTCATTCCACCGGCACCACCATCCTCCTGTCCACCCTCCCTGTCATGGCCACCACCCCCTCCAGCTTTGAGAAACCCAAATCCAAACATCAATTCCTGCTCTGGTCACGGCTCCCAGGCGACTATCCCCGGCTGGCTGTGTGGGCAGAGCCCCTCCGGGGCTGGAGCAGCTCCCAGCAGGCAACCACACTGCAGCTGAGGGTCTGCCAGCTGCATCCTGTCCTACCCCTTCTTTTTCCTAGCTCCTCCAGCTAACTCCAGCAGAGCCACACAGACCCCTGGGCAGAAGCCCTGGGGCCTCACCCCGCGTCCTCCTTCCTGGGAAAGGAGCAGATCCGCCTCTATGGTTGACGGATGCACCACCCTGTCCTCCTCCACGCCTCCCCCTCTTCCCCATGCACACTCCCTGCTCTCCTTTCCCTTCACATTCTGAAATCCCAGCTACAGCAATTCCCATGTCAGATCAACTTCTGAACAGCAACATCCGGGGTCTTGAGGATGACCCGTGTCTCTCGGGGACAGCTGGGCTGGCTTGCTGGCTCGGAGACAAAATCCCACTGAAAGCTGATGGTGTTGAACTGGACCCTGGCTAGATTTATAACCAGACCCTGACCAGATTTATAGCTGCCCTATGGAAAAATCTACAGTGCTGGCAACTCCTCACAGACCTGCGGGCTGTACAACCAGCGTAACACCCAGCACTTGCCCATGGCACAGACAACACCAGGTGCTTCAGCTGGAAGCAAACCTGATCTTCTGTGCTAATGGTCAAACTGTGCAAGGCTCTGCCGGTGAGGGAGATCCTGGCGCTGCCCAGGGATCGCCCCACTGCCTCACCACTGAAGGATTTCTGGCTTTTGTAAGTTCATGCCAGCAGCCCAAGCACAGCTGCTTTACCACTTGGAGATTTCCAAAGCAACAGCTGAGAGCCAACCTCACCTTTGTTTGTTTGGAAAACCTCAATTCTCTCCATTCTTTGAGCCTGGATTGCCACACGATGGGTGTGGGTTTCCCTGGCAGGGAACACAGCCTGTTTTGCACAGTGCTCCTGCATTTGCACGGGAAGCCGAAGGCTCCCGCAGCTGCCTGCTCCCTCTGTGCACGAGGCTGGGGAACCACATGGGCTTCTGGATGCCCAGCTGCCCCAGAGCATGGCCACCCTGCCTGGGCCACCAGCCGCACACTGACATGCTGCATTCATAAAGACCAAACACATAGCTAGAAACCTGTACAATAGGGAGCTCCTAGTTAAATATTTTTAATTTTCTTTTCCTTTTTTTTAACCAAAGCTCAGCAGGACTATTTGTCTCACTAAAATACAGGGGCAGAGGTCTCTTCGTTTACCCGTGCTGCACAGCACGTAACAAAAGCGAAGACTGCAGGGGTTCAGATCCCCAGGCTGAGGGCTAGGCAGTGAAAAGCAAAGGATGTACAAAACATACCTTTAGAGGGGGCAGGTCCGGCAGGCTCTTCTGAGGAGGGGACGAATGCAGTCCCGAGTCTCCATTGGTCAAGGAGTTTCTCCGATCCAGCGCTGCAAGCCAGAAACACAATTATATTGATGACATGTGGCATTTCCCAGCAGAGCACTTGCTACCCGGGGCTGTGCAGGAACAGCGAGGTGCTATTTCGGTAGGAAGCAGAGTGGCAATTACAGGCAGCGCTGCAGGGCCACCATGTCATTTCAGGCCATACCCAGGAATGTGGCACTAGGAGACCCAGCAAAAGAGCTCTCCTCTGGTTTTTGGACATGTTTTTCCTTCTGGAAGGAAAACTGTGAAGCCTAGACCCATTGCTGAAACTTTAAAGGGTCTTGAGAAGCAGCATGGGCAGAAACTACATAGTATCTGGAAATCCATAGCACCTTACTCCTTGCTAGCTCTGATCCCTGCTGCTGCAAGCAGACAGATCGGTGACTGTCCCCACCTCTGCTGCCTTTCCAAAAAACTGGAGCTAACTATTACCACCCTGCTCCCAGAGCGAACTGCAAAAGGTTGCTGCCTAGCTGCGCTGCACAACAGTTTATCAAAGCCAGACAAGAACAGTAATTTAATCACTATTGAAGGAAGAGCTGTTCTTGAAGCAGCCCAGGCCAAACATGTGAAAGGGCATATGGCAGCAGAGCTGCTCCAGGCCATCTGCGTCTGCCTCTGGAAAGTCAGATTTTCCAAGCAGCTGAACGCAGAGTGATTCAGTAGCTGGAGGGTACTTCGAACGCTCAGAAAACTTGTGTTCAGTCCCTCTTCCCCCACCACAGAACTCCTGGGTGGCCTCAAACAAGTGCCCAAATCCCACAACCTCCAAGACAGCACAACGCAGCAACGCTCAGGAACAAGCAGGAGCAAGGCACCAAATGGCTGAAAAATGAAGGACTTTGAAGGCATTATACTGTGCAGTGGGGAAGTCCCCTTTTACAGAGCATCTCTTGCCAAATACTTTGGGAGAAATAAGGCTAAGGTATTCAGATATGGCAAGTCCAGTAAATTAAAAGGGAATTGGGTCCAAAATCTGCAGCAAGCTGATGCTCTAACTCCCTCAGTCACCTGCTGATGCTCCAGCCATATTCCTCAGGCACACACAGAAACTGCCAAGGCATCATGCAGTGCCCAGCAGCGGTTAGCACTGAGCTCAGAAGATGCAGACAGGAACTTTGCTGCATATTTCTGGGCATTAAAAATAGAAGCTGGAAACCACATTGCTTTGTTCATGTCTGGGGCTTGGAAGCCACGATGACAGCTCTGCCCTGCCAGGCTGCAGCTAGCTCCTGGCCTGATGGTGCAAGAGCTCAAAACACATCTCTTGTGAGAAATTGCTTCCTGTGACACAGAGCTCCTGGTCATCAGCACTAGCTAACTTCAATAAGTCAGGAGGACACAGAGGCCCATGGATCAACAGACACCAACTCCAAGCAGCTGTCTGCACCTCGCAAGTAGGGCTGCTGGATGCCTTACAAGGTTCAAACACAGTAAAGCAGGTGAGCCTGTGACACAGACTGATCATGGGGAGATCCACCTACCAAAATATCCCATGGTTACACTGCCAGAGTCGTATCTATAGGCTGCTGCTGGAGGTTGGCCTTTTCTGTAAAGGACCAAGGAGATAGCGCTCTCAGAGCAGACACCATCCATCAACAGCAGCTGCTGAGGCCATTGCTGCTTTCAGAAACACCAGAAAGACGTCTGAGACTTCCTAAAGCCCCAGTGGGCTACTACCCAAGAGGGGATTATCTCCACATTCACAGTTGTCCACACAAGGAACTTTTTAGGGGCCTTTTAGCAGAGAGAGACAGGCCAACTCGCATCCTCCTGCACCAGGCACAACCTCCCATGCTCAGCTCCACAGAAGAGAAATCATTGCAGCAGCAAAAACCACTGCCAAACCTCTCGCAAGTGGTGGCCATCTGTTCTTGACTCTCCAGAAAACCTAGCAATCATCCCACTGAACCTCACTGTGCCAGGAAAACGCTATTTCGTTTCTGTACCAGCAGTTCCTCCTCCTCCCACCAACCCTGGAGCATGCAATGGAGACCACAGCCTCAGTCCTCACCCTGCTGGAAACTTCCCCACCTCCATGGACACGTGCCCATGTACTCCAGCTGAGGAGCAGAGCAGGATGTGATAGAGCTTTGACTTTCAGGCTTTGTGCAGGAAGAACCACCCCTTTAACCTTCACCCTGACAAGACCCCTGGGAGATGTTACAGGGTTTTCTGTTCTGAGGTTGCAGAGGGCAGCTATCGCTATGCCCAGCATGTGGGGACAGGTACCTAATGCATGCTTTCTGGATGGAGAGTCCACACAGCATGTGCTGTGCATACCCCTTCCTTTTCCTGCTACACACATCAGCACCACAAATCGCAGACTCTTTCCTTATTGGGGTGGGAGGGAAGGAGTATTTTTTCCTAGCTAAGCATTAACACTTTGCAGGTGTCTTCTGATAAAGATGTCTCTCTAAAACCTGCCATTTGGAGACAATTTAGAAGAAGGGAGGAAGAAAAACCAGGCAAAAAGCCTGCAAAAATTCACATCTGTACAAACTGTTACTTATCTGTGCTCTCTGTTCTTTGTAAAAGTGAAACTCTCCTGGTATTTGGGCTAAGAGGACCGCAGTGTGCACCACCAGCAGACCTACACTGTGCATCAGTCCCAGCTTCCAGACTCCTGCACCTCTGTGCTGACTTCCAGAAGGAGATGCCTCCAGCTCACTGAAGAGCCCTATGGACTTGCATGGTAGAGACTTGCTGTGTTTCTCAAGTGAGATCAAGTAAATGATAGCGCCTTCATCACTCACTGCAGTGAATTCAATTACAGTGCCGTAAAAAGGCATCTCAAAAGCAGCGCACTGTTCAGCTTAAATCCTTACTGATAGAATTGGAAGTAGGTAAAGTGAGCAGTGAAATATGTTTTTTTTGCAGAAATAGCACATTTTAAGGTTTGGAGGGGGGACTTTTGGAGCTGATGTATTATCACTTTGGAAAGCACTTCACCCTGCACTGCTAGAGCATACTCGAGCACAGCTACAGCGATGAAGAAACCCCGCAGGGCATGAGAGGTCCCACTGACCTCAGCCACAAAAGTGTGGTCACCACATCCCAGCAAAGGATTTTGGTGAAAAAAAGTACACAGAGCAGCAGTGGATAAAAGGGGTAAAGGGAGCTGCATAATCAATCACCAGGGGATCCATATCACACCCTCTAGCACCCGGGGGTACTAGGGCCTCCTCCATCCGCTACGTCTGAACCTGCAGGTCCCACTTCTGACCAGGCAAGCAGACATCTCCGTGCAGTTACAGAGGCAGGACTGGGGCTGTACACCCAGCTGCAGCTATGGCTAGGATCCCATACACGTGTCTCACTGACTTCAGCATTTCCAAATAACTCAGAAGTTTTGCTTGGAATAGGGAGGTTGCTGAAAACAGAGAAAGAGAGAAGCGCCGGGTCCCACAGGGAGCGACCGAGTGGTCAGGCTCATGGCCTTGATAGGGAAAAGTCTGAAATAAAAGAACCAACTCTAAAAATAAATTGTGTGAAATTCGCCCCCGGGTTTCAGCATGGTGGATTGCTGCAAGTCTTGTTTTATCTACCCAAATGAGAACCTCTATAAAGAGATGTTTCTGTCACTGCTCAGCTACTGGGAGCTACTGGGAGGCTGTGCAACCCTGTTATGGAGCATTACAGCATCACCCAGAGGGCCCCCTCTGGAGACCACGCTAGGGCTGCAGGCATAATCTGGGAGGACATCCTGTCTTCAGGGGTAGTTGAAGCCAACCTAAATTCAGCTGCAGGTAGTTTGAAAAACAAAACAAACCAACCAAACAAAAAAACCCCACCACAAAACAATAAAAGTAAAACAAACAACTCTGGAAACGGAGCTACCCTAGCTCTTGCAGGAGCAGCATGTCAACAGCAGGCTGCACTGATGCGTCCTCTTGTCTCACCTATTTGGATCGGCAGCTGTGGGGTAGGGTCAGCCTCTGACTACGTGTGCATTCAGATGTGCATCAGTAACAATCTCACTCCACGCAATTATCAAAAACAGCCTTTGTGATGAACTTCAAAGAGCAAGGACATTTTTAGAGAATTATGTCCTTTCCCAGGTTACAAATTCAAAATCTGGGAAATCTAAATTGGAAACGAATATTTTATCTAGGTTTAATTTCTTGGCTTGTACACCGCAGAACTCTTGCATCCCCCGGGAGATGAAGGTGCTCTGCCCGCGCAGATGGCGAGGGTGCAGGCTGCACCTGGGAACTTGCCTCGCAAGGTTGCGACAACGCAGACCCTCTGGGCTACTACAGAGCAACATGCTAAAGACGACACATGCTTTCAAGGTCTCAGAGAGGTGAAGTGACATGTTTTGTGGCCAAAGGAAACACAAGGGCTTCCTTAAATATTTCAGGCACTGGAGCTGCAAGCCTTAGAAGGCAACATTTTTATCCCAAAATAACGCCCTCCAAAGTGCTACTTCCAGGAATAACCTCACAGCGCTGGCAAGGACCATGGTTTCCAAAGGAATGTAATGAAAATGGCAGTCCTTCCACACCATCAACTGCCTCATCCCTCAGAGCTGCCAGAGGGGCTTCCACCAGTCCCAGTAAAGCAAGGCTCTTAACCATGTGTGCCCTCACTGCCTGTTAGGTATGAGACAACCATTAATGTTCAGCTCCGTACCTGTGTCTTGTTTCTCCTGGTCACCCTGCTGGTTATGGATGGTCACTTTGTTCATATAAATATATTCCTCATCGCCACCTGCAACCAAAGGGAAAAGTGAACTCTTTGTCCACACGCTGCTTTCACATTGCTAAGTTTTTCCACAAAGACAGATGTAAAAATTGTCTCTGCTCAGTACATTTTGGGGAGAGCATATTGGTTGAGGCAATGTGCAGAAAAAAACCCCAAGTAATAATAAAAAGCAGAAAAATTAAATGCTTTATAGTCAGGAAATTCCATAAGTTGAAATTTCTACTTAAACATTAACTTGGCCAAACAGTACATCCTGTGTATCTTACAAAGTGGATTAAATAAACTTAAGGTTTAATAAGGAAAACAGAAAGTATCAGGAATCTTGGGAATCCTTTGCTTGTAAAGCTGGACACATAACTATAGTAATTTTACATAAACAATTAGAAGTCACTGCAAAAATAATCTCCGTTTCATTTTCTCCTTCCTATTTTCATGTCCCCCCTTCCCACCAGCCTCCAAGAAAACGTTGCTTCAAGACTCCGCAGCAGTTCCCATGAGAGCCCACAACCCCATCCTTGGTTCTTCCTTGCCTGTACCACTGGACTTGGTGTAGACCCGCAGAAGGTCGGAGAGGAAGCTCTTCTTCACAACAGCAGTGCTGCTCAAGCTCTCCTTGTCCAGTATCCTCAGAAAATCTTCAAGTTCTGTGAGCAGCTGCTCGAGAGCTACAACAGCAACAGAAACAACTGTTGGCAAAGCAGTTAGCTGGCATTTCAAAAGAGGACATACATTAATTCTGAATTTTCCAAGATTGTCTGCATTTTTCTGCCCAGTAATAATTCATATTTAGTTTTCCAGCTTGAACCCTCCCTCTAGTTTTGAAAAGAAAGTGGGTCACAAAACCAAAAAGGCTCCAACTTCCCTTAGTCTGTTCATACCCCAGCAAAATCCCATGTAAATACCTATTCTTCCTTCTATAGGACTTTTTGCTCAAGAGGGGAAAAGCCTAGAGGGATTTTGAGCATTAGGGCTGAGATTACACAAAAGCAGCTAGCAAGATCTTGACACTTGAATCTTGAGTCCCGGCAAACATAATTCAAACCTCATCTGGATTTGGATCTACCAGAGTCTGTGTTCTGGTTCCTCTTTCAAAGCCTCCTCCTTATTTCTCTCTCTGTAACAATTTGAAAATGTTTATGTGTGTTCCCCCAAAAAAGAGAAAAAAAAAAAAAGCATATAGGTAATTCATAATTCAGTAACTTCTCAAGCCATCTTGCTTGGGTAGTGACCACAGAGATCATTGTACCACATGGAACTGAAGACCCAAGACTGAGCAGCATCTCAGAGACCCTCAGGAAAACCTGCTGTACCAAAGACATCCCTGCATACCCGCAACAGGCAGCTCAGACACACCGCTCCCCAGCACTGACAGCCCAGCCGGGCTAATAGGCTTGTTTTCCTTCTGAGGAGATGCCACTCAGCTCTGCCAGTGACAGATCACTTCTCCGACATGGCGCATGCTGAAGCAACAGGCATTTAATTGCTTGCTTTTGTTTGCGCCAAAGTTTATCGTGGGCTAATTAGCAGCAGTGGCAGGAGCCTGTTCCAGGAAGGAAATAACAGAGTATTAGGTGGAGAGAGGAAGTGCCGTGCAAGAATGATGGCGTATGGAAAAAGCATGGAAAACCCATCCGGGGCCGTTCCTCCCCTTTGGAGGCTCCCCCACTACCCCACTCCATCGTTCCCTGATGCTAAGGAGCTGCGGGGCAGATGGGCAGCAAAGCTTGGGTTTGCCAGCGCCAGGCTGCAGAGCAGGCTGTGACTCCTCAGCGCACCACCAAGGAACATGACATATGGATAATCTAACTGGGGCAATGCTCCGTTCCCTTTACTTACAGCATCTCCATGCTGTGTGTTCCCATGGTACCCCTGTGAGTCACAGTACACACCAATGAACTAGCAAAGTGTTAATATTTTGGTTTCATAGGGCAAAACATCTGAAGCACATCTAGTTTAAGTGCTACCACCTCCCAAGTCACAAAGAACATTTGTGTAAGACCAGGAGAGAGCCATCACCTTCTTATCCCCCGTCCTTAGCCACCAGGCAACCCTTCCTTGGGTGAATACATGTTAGAATATTGATAAAGCAGAAATTACACTGTAAAGGTTTGTGCTGCTAGCCATTAATTGAAAAGCATGCTACTGCTCTCAAACTGTTTCAAGCTTCACTAGTTTGACTGTAAAACAGTCTAATGACTCCAGATCAATCAATAACGGCTCCAGAGGATACTAACAACTGGTAGTTCTTCACACTTTGTTTTACACCCTCTACACCTAATAATTCCCTTCCCATCTGATTTAGGACCATAGGGAATAGAAAACACCTGTATCATACTGTGTTAACTTGCATGTTTTTGCTAGCTGCTGTTTTGCCCAGCTATAAGCCACTGCAATCCAGAGAAAGCAAGAATCACTTCAAGAAACAGCAGCATTTTTCATAAACTGTAAGGAAACAGGTAGTATTTGGTGACAACAATATTAGACATCACTGATATCATTAAACAATGAACTGTGAGCATCTGGTGTCAAATACACTCAGAACCGCCTTCTCTCAAGCCTGAAGGACCCTGCTGCTTCTAAGTTTAAGGAAATTCCACCGATGTAAATCACAGCCTTGCTATACTCGCTCATCTGCTCTGGTGGCCCACTTCAGAAAATTTAAATTGAGGTCAGTTCCTTCTGGTCAGGCCTAAATATATGTTCCTCTTAGTTCATCCTAGTGGACAGGACAGTTATGTGTCGGGGATGGTATCAGAAGAAACACAGCACAAAAAAAATACCTAATTTGAAGCTTCAGAAGCGGGTCAGCTCCCAACAGCTGCCTGCATGGAAGTCACGATACCACATTTGCAGGGAAGGGGGTATAATTCCTATTCCCTCCTCCACCCCCATAACTGCAGAAAATGACTTTATTCTTCTCTCAGGCACGCACAGCTAGCACACACACAGGGCTGAGCTCTTATGAATAGCGCAGCCCGTACAGTAGGTTACATTTTCCAGCCCACCAAAGCTGAATTCAGGCTTCTGGTGACTCAAAGCAACTCATTTAGGACATGATCCTGGGGCCATAGAGGTCAGTGGAAAGACTCTGTCAGACTTCAATGTGTTCAGACTTCAGGGACTCAAGAGAGATTAATTTTGCTCTTCTTCAGCAACCAGCAGCATATAAACCATCTGCTTCTATGCAAGTATCTCTTTGATCTCAGCTGGACATTCCCAATCCAAATGCAATACCTGCAAAAATAAACTATCATTGAAGTGAATGTAACCATTCATTCTCTCATATCAGAAGGAGAACAAGCTAATTCTTATCAGAGTGACGAATATGAGAAGTAAGAATTAATTCTATGGGGGTCTATAAGATCCTCTGTGCAAGCAAGAATCGCAGCAGGTCCCAGCAGATGAATAGGACTAAAAACAGTTGGGAACCATAACACCATCTCAGGATTTTGAATGCTGGAAACCACTGTGTGATGTCAGCTAAAGACCCATCATGCTGTGGTGATGATGTATTGAACATGCTCATGGCAGAACCAGGCCGGTGGTTATCCAAAGCAGCCTGAAACAAATGGCTCTCCCTCCAAGCTGCATTGTTTTGCTCTCCTTATCTTAGCAGCTTAGAAATGAGAGCATGTAAAGAGGTGATTCCTGTAGCTAGGCTTGCTCTGCAGGGCAACAATCATAGGTGCAAGGAACTTGTTTGCAAAAATCAAATGGCTGTGGGCAGCAGGATGAGATCAGAAGTAGACAGAAGCCCAAGTCACAGGGCAGTGCAATTCTCAGAGATGCTTTTGAGAAACCTCCTTCCACAGCTATATTACTCTTCTCAACTCCTGCAGCACTTCTTCATGAACTCCCAATTACAACGTGACTCAAGTAATCTTTCAGGCACCATCTCAAATAAATACTCAGAAAATAGAATACTTAGAAAAAATCAGCCTACTTCATGGAAAACAGGAGATTACCTCTAAGGTTAAGACTGGCCCAGAAGAATTAAAAGACTTAGCCAAGGTCACTGTGAATGCCTCTACTGAATCCAGTCCTACTGGATATGACCTACTCCATCTCCTTACACGACATGGCCACGCACATGGGGTACCATTAGATAATGCAGCACAGCTCAGATCATGCTGCTCTTCTCCATGGCTGCAGCTATCAGTCACTGGATAAAACCATAAGGATTTTGCAACATAGGATCATAGTCAACAGAAAATTCAGATGATTTGCATCTGCAGCGAGTGGATGATCATCACTGAAAGGACTGAACTTTAAAGCATATAGAAATATCATGTCTTTACTGATGTAATAAGGACTTATAGGGGGTTACAACCAGAACTATCAGCTCCTCTTGCATGCACTTAAGTGGAGGATGAGAGATGTTCTCCCTCCTTTTACTCCAGGACAATGAAACCCTTTTTACAGAAACTCCTGGGCAGCCCTCTGACCAGAGCAGACTCTGAGGGCTGCAACTTCAGTTGCAGCAACAAGCAAAGCATTGCTTGAAACACAACTGATCTGTTTCAATGGCAATTCAGTAGCAGCACTGAAAAGGGCTTCTTTTGGCAGGAGTCTATGGCCTTTCTTTGCAGACAAAGTCTCTTGCATTGCACCAGTGTCTATCCTAGTTCATGTGAAGCTAGAGCCAAAAAATGCAGCAGCTTGCAAGGCCCCCATTGAGGAAGCACATTCCTTGCAAAAGAGCTGCCAATTTCGCCTGACACCAAGGTCAGTGAAAGGTAAATGACCATTAAACTAGATTATAGAAGCCATTCCTACCAATAACCACTGATCTTTGTCATTTTGCTACAATAACAACCTACATCTACATCTAATTACTTCATGTCTTGGTCTTATGAGGAAATGGAAAGACAGGCTCAGAATGAACTTTCATTCAAGTGTTTTAGTAACCACCGGGCAGGATTATATTAGACCATTTAATCTAAATTCAATTATTTATTTTATCAAGGTAGAGAGGCCCCAGCCACCGGACAAAAAACTGTAATAAGATACATACTAAAAGACAAACTTTTTCCTCTACTGTAATGAGAGGTGAAAGATAAGGAGTATCATTTGCTGACAGGAAACTAAGGCACAGAGAGATTAAGCGATTTGTCCAAGGATACGGGCGTATTCTCCGGCAGATCAGGAATACAGCCCAGTCTTCCTCTGCCCCAGCCTGCAGCTCCCACTCCTAAAGCACCCTTCCTTGGATCCCAAAGCACCGGGAGATTTCCCACCCTCCTGCCAAAAGCAGGAGCTGTGTTTGGTACTTTTGGCTTCACCCCTGCTACAAGGGGCTGGGCTAAGCTGCTGGCAAACAGCTGGGATTCAAGCACCTGGTAAATACCTGCAGCCCTTGGCATGCCAAGCTTTCAGCTTCAAAAGCCTTGGAAAGTCCAAAGATAGTGAAGCTGATAACAGCGCTCTGATCCAGCAAGTGTCAGAGGCCACAGGAGCGGAGGGGCTCCGGAGGGGCTCCCGAGGGGCACCTCGGGGTCCCCATGCATCCCCAGCCTCCCCGGAGACCCTCCTCCATGCAGGACACCCCATGGCAGCCTTTCGGCCCCCATCTCCCACTGACCAGCCCTGGCTGGCAGCACTGGGATTCCCCAGGGGCTGCTTTGGCAGAAGGCAGTTCCTCTCTTGCCCTGGTTTCTTTTTTTCT